CTGAAGGGACTGCCCCTCACAGAAACAGATTCAGTCTTATGTGGTATACACACTTCAACTCCCAATGCAGAGCAGGGCACCTCTGTGGGTCCAGCTTCTCTCTGGTCACGAGGCACCAGGTCATTCCCCTTGCCCACTGGCTCAATCCAATCTCTGTATTTGAACATGTTGAGCTAAGTTCTCTCTCTTCTAATCATGTAAAAAACAGACCCACATCTAATTATTTAGGTCAAAGGAAGATATTTAAAATATTGATATATGAAAAGCTGAAATAAAATATTAATCAAAGGTGGTTTCTGATGATCAGATTTCTATGACTATTTAATTATGGATGGTGGTTTCTTCAGAAGAGGACAAAAGTCCCTGTCACAACCCAAACTTTTCTTTTGTAACAAATAAAATTCTCAAAACTATTTTGACTTTTTAAAGACTGCTGGGTGTTCTTCATTTCACTAAGTGGTTTGCTTTTCTGGTGGTTTGTTTTTCTCCTAAATTTTATCCCCCAAAATTTTAATTGATTTTGTAATCACCATCCACATTTCTTACTGGCAGTCTTAACAGGAATTTTAGGAAAGATAGCTAAACCTAGTCAGGTGAGACAAGTATACTTAATTTTCCCCCGTGGCAATTATAAATATCAGGAGAGTTTTCATGGTTGTCTCATAGCTTCCTTATGATGCAGAATGGGTAAGACTTATTGAATATAAATGTATGACTCATTACATATCCTAATAGCAACTGTATGGTAAGAACAATGTAAACATCTTCTCCTTGGGTTGGTAGAACCACCACCTTCCAGGATCTGAAGAGCTTCTGTGTCCTTCTAGAAAATAAGTCCTGGTCCCCTCCAAAAAGCACAAAAGAAAAAAAAAAGACCTCTAAATTGACTCCTCCCCTGCCAAAAGTTTATAAAAATACTGAAATAATATTCTCACAACAAAATTAAAGTTTGAGTTTAGAGAAGGAGTATCAAGTACATGCAGAAAAGCTTTCACTTCACTCATAGATAAATGGCTCTAGAAAAAGATAGATGAGAAAACTACCAACTACATCACCCAATCTTTGTGACACCTAACTAGAGCCCAGGGAGGAGGAAATAAATAGTTCACGGGGGAAATCCTCTGTCCCATAGTCCAATCAGGGAGATCCCACGGTGTCACCAGTCAATAAAAGTCCAAGGTATCTTTTCAGATAACTTCCTGAGTTGGAGCATTCTTCAGAGTTTCTCATCTCGCTCCTTCCAAATGCCAATATGATTGCCTCCAGTGTCCTCGGCCTGAAGTCAGCCATCCTGCAATACAAATCAGAACCTGTTGTATGCCTGGGTTGCATTTAACAAAATAAGAATATTCCTAGAAAGCAGTTTATCAGTTACATTTAAGGGAACATCTCAGATGATCAGTACTTTGACTCTCAAGATTTAGAGGGAATTAAAAGGTCATATAGTCCCATAGCACATGAAATCTTAAATCTTACAGAGTCCAACAAGGATGCTTATGTTAATGTTCCCTAAAGGGTGCTCCACAAAACACTGGTCTGTTAAATGCTTCTTCTCGAGGCTTCCCTCTTAGAAATCCACAATGTAAATTTGCATAAGGGCACTGAGAAAACTTGTAAGGGAAAAAGATATATATCTATATAAGTATATATAGAGAGAGATATAGAGAGAGAGGAAAAAGATATAAACATATTAAACTTTGTTTAGTCCAGCAATCCCTAGCCCTTATAAATTTGTTAATTAGATCTAATCTAGCAGAAGATAATGGAAAACAAAGAAGCATTATAAAGAAAATATAAATGTTCTTACTGCCAAGAGAATAATTATGATCTGCCATCTTGTCCCTGCGATCCAGGGGCTCAATGATCATTGGTGAAATGATATCCATGGTCACAAAAAAATATTCACACCCTTGTATTTTAAAATGAGGGTGAATCCTGAAACTCAGCCAAAGGAAATATGCACATCACAAACACAACTGTCTTTTCTGTCAGTGGGCCTTTTTACTCTTGGGGCTTATAAACATCATCTGATTCTAAATAATAAATGTGTAGGGGCGCCTGGGTGGCGCAGTCGGTTAAGCGTCCGACTTCAGCCAGGTCACGATCTCGCGGTCCCTGAGTTCGAGCCCCGCGTCGGGCTCTGGGCTGATGGCTCAGAGCCTGGAGCCTGTTTCCGATTCTGTGTCTCCCTCTCTCTCTGCCCCTCCCCCGTTCATGCTCTGTCTCTCTCTGTCCCAGAAATAAATAAAAACGTTGAAAAAAAAAATTTAAATGTGTAGATCATTTCTCTGAATCCCATTCATTACCTTGCCGGGCAGAAAAAAATCCTAAGTATGAAACGCCTTTGTCTACGTACTCAACTGTGGCATAATTTTGTCACCTTTTTTTTCCCTTTTTCCTTTTTTCCCTAAACAAGGGTAAATGTCTTTTCATTAGTTACTGATTTGGATGAGAAGGAGCCTGTCTGCCATATGCATTTTACTTATATATGAACGTACTGTCTTCTTCAACTAGCACACATGAAATTCAGTACTAGTAGTCAGTGACCTGTCTCTATGACTTATACGTGAGAAAATTTAAGGGGTAAGACAAACCCTGAATGTAAACGTTCAATTTTCAAAGAATAAAATTAAATTCAAAAAAAAAATGCAGATCTTTGTCTCTATTTGCTTATAGAGGCTGAAGATCCAGAACTCTTACTCATGTAAGTAATTGTCCTACATCTAACAGGTTGTGAATCTCTCGTAAGCCAAGAGCAAGGTTGAGGTAACTTGAACAGTGCTAGGTGAACAGAAGTGAGCTCATGGCTACTTTCACCATTATTAAGCAAAAGCAGGTACTCCTCTGAATTCAGAGATGGTCCATGAGGTGAGCACCATCTAGAAAGTTCTAGGTAGGCATCCCATGACCCTACCCATTGAAGCGCTTGTTTTTCCTGAGATTTCAATCATAGCCACAGCACTCACAGAAGTAGCCTCCACAGGCTGGGGTGGTAATGGGGTAACTAGCACAATTTTCAGGCTTCATCCAAAAAATCTTGCACAATGATTCCTGGCTTTTTGGGGGTCATAGATCCCCTTGAGAATCTGCTCAATGCTATGGACCTTTCCCCAGAAATGAGCATATGTCCATATATAATTTCACATAAAATGTAATACATTTTTGTAAACTCCTTGAGGCCCTTCTTTAGACCCCAAGTGAAGACCCTTCCCCCAAGATATCTTCCTCTGTCCTGGTATCAGGAATTTTTTCTTATTCACCTTTATATTCCCACCTTGAACTATGCTAGGCCAGTTGAAGAAATGGAAGGATAGGACTGAAAGATTTGCCAAGATGATCAATGAAGAAATGTTAAAAATACAGTTGGTATCGCAAAGCTATTGAGACAGAAAGTAAATTAGTTGGTTGCCTAGGGCCAGAATGAGATAGGGGAGACGAGCAGTGACTGCTAATGGATACACTTGGGAATGACATAAATGTTCTGTAATTAGACTGCAGTGATGGTTGTGCATCTCTGTGACTACTAAAAACCACTGAATTATACACTTCAAAAGAGTATGTTTTATAGTACATAAATTAGGTCTCAACACAGCTGTTTTTAAAAGTTGGTGTTATAAAGAAAGGAGAAGAAATGGCTCAGCAGGAATTACAAGAAACTGCATAAGACTGAAAATAATATGTGGCCTCCTTATTGTCTTCAATGAGGAAGGAACTAGAGGAATTTTGGTTAAAGGTCACTGGAGATTTTCTCATCAGGGGGAACTATGGAGACAGTGTGTTTAGGTCTCCTAAAGAGTGGAATGTAGAGGACCACCCATAAGAATAAAGAACACTGGCTCGATCCAATAGGATCTCTGCCTAACCCAATAATTCTGTTTATGAGAATGATTCCGTAGAGACGCAATGGCTGCCCTCCATGGCACAGCTTGAAAGGTTAAGAATATGACACCAATTTCCCCAAATCTTTTTTCTGAATACACTATGGACTGTTGACTAATAAATTTATCTAAGTCTATCTTGAATCAATTTATATTTTCAGCTTATTCTAACAAATTCCATATGCTTCCCAATCTGCTTCAGATGATGTGAGTATAATTTCTGCATGGAGCCAGAGCCTGGCTTATAGAACCTTGAGTCTGCCATGTCTCTGATTCTCACCACCCCCTTCTCCATAGTTCTGTCAAATGCCTTT